GAAGCCCGTGAAAGATGTTTAAAGGGCTCTCATGTGGCAGAGGAGCACATTTTCTCAACATGGTCCTGAGAACTAGAACTAGGATTATAGAATACTTATTCAAGGAGATGGATTCAACTTAAATGTATTTCCTAATTGTTAAAGCTGGCCAAAGATGAAGGGCTGTGTGGGATATAGTAAACTTCCTGTCACTTTGCTGTTCAAGCTGAGGCTGGATAATTACTTGTTGGGCATCTTGGAAATGGAATTTACAAGTGGGGCTACCTAATGCTCTTCAGCTCTGAAATCAGGTGATTCTAGAGAAAAGGAAGGAGAAGGAAATAAGGAGTGTGTTAGCGTACCTGTTCAAGAGCGAGGACTAGAGCTGAAACCACCAGACAACCCCTAGACTTCTACTTCCCCGTTCAGAGGGGTTCAGTCACAGAAAAATAACAGGTAATGTTTGTTGACTACTTGCGACACGTCAGACACAGCTAATAAGGCAGCTAAGCTGGGAGGGCAAATTCAACTACTGTCTCCAGCAGAAAAAAATCACTGGCCTGTATATAATTTCAGAATAATGTATGAAGAGATGCAATGGCTCATTATTGAGTTTTTAATGGAAAAAGATTTGACAAGCGCCGAACAGGAACTTCTGACCTGTTCAGATGAAACAAATATTTCAGGAACAAATATTTTTAGAGGGAGAATATATGTATATGTATATATGTATATGTATATATGTATTTCTATATGTATATATGTACAGATACACATAAACATATGTATATGAACAATACTTTTTATTAAGGTCTAGAGATATTTAATTTTTATTGTTATTGTAACTAATTAATGTAGTCAGAACCTTTTTACTCACCCTACAATTCAACTGTGTAAATAAAAGGCAGCTATTTTATAATCTATAACGGGCTTCATCTTCCTCAGGAGCTGCCACTCATTAATTAGTGGAAAATAAGTTTGGTCTCATGCAGACAGACACGATAACTTAGGTAAGGAAGCCTTTGCTTGGATCAGGTAAACAGATCAGTCTTTCATATTTCTGCTCCTCCTCAAGCCAAGACACTCTCTCCACCAGGGTTCACCTGCTTTACTATAAATGTGGGTACTTTCCTCTCTTCTCAATGTCACCAATGTCTGGCCTGCCAGGAAGTGACCTATCTCACCACCTGTAAGGCTCAGTCTGTGAACCAGATACCAGGCCAGTTTTCTGGAAGACTTTGTAACCTTTGGCTCTATAAAATCAACCTTAGTTCCCTCAAAGTGTCTGGTCATATCTGATTAAATGAACCTCATTCTCGTATATAACACTTATCTATGGCATTATTCTTCAAGGATATGAATTTTAATAACTATATAGTTTTCCATAGCTTGGGTGCACAATAATATCTTCTACAAATTCCCTCTTGTTGGACATTTGATAGTGTTTCTAATGTTTTGGCAGTTTACATATGGCAGAGGTGAACATTTTCACATACAAATCTTTTTCCACATCTCTGAATTTCTATATGATAGATTCCTACATTTAGAATTACAGACAAAAGGATAAGTCTTTAAAAGAATCATGGCATCATACCAGCTTGTGATAAGGGCATGTCTGTGAATAATTTGCCTTTTCACGGGCCATGTCTGCTCTATTCTTTTCCATTCTTTTGTTTATATTCCTCTAGAAATCCACATAATTGTGAACCTAAAGCTCCTTCCTATTCTATGTGAGTGTCATTTTCAAAAACTAGCATACATCTTCAGCCATCTCTGTCACAATTGAAATTGCCTTGGAAATCAATAGGAGGGAGTAAAAATGTCTAGTTTTGTAATATGAAACTAGAGATAAGCAAAACTAGTATGACAGGTTTTATCACTAATGTTTTTACTTAGAAATTAAGCCTCAGTTAGTGCAGCCCCAAAATTGGATGTGAACTTGGCAAAAACATACATATGACGTGGAGGAAAAATACAAGGTTAACCTATTCTTTTGCTAATTTTAAGAGTAGAATATATTTGATCATTCAATTATTTATTTATTCAGCAAATACTTAGTGAATTCTTATTACATACCAGATATCATACTTAGTGTCTAGAGAACAATATGTCCACTTCACCTTTTTATATCCTTTCTAAAATGTTGAGTTGTAACTTTTTGAGGCAACATAAAAGTAGCATTCATTTTCTGGACTAACATGGCCCAGCCGCTCCGCGGCATGTGGGATCCTCCCGGACCAGGGCACGAACCCGTGTCCCCTGCATCGGCAGGCGGACTCTCAACTACTGCGCCACCAGGGAAGCCCGTGAAAGATGTTTAAAGGGCTCTCATGTGGCAGAGGAGCACATTTTCTCAACATGGTCCTGAGAACTAGAACTAGGATTATAGAATACTTATTCAAGGAGATGGATTCAACTTAAATGTATTTCCTAATTGTTAAAGCTGGCCAAAGATGAAGGGCTGTGTGGGATATAGTAAACTTCCTGTCACTTTGCTGTTCAAGCTGAGGCTGGATAATTACTTGTTGGGCATCTTGGAAATGGAATTTACAAGTGGGGCTACCTAATGCTCTTCAGCTCTGAAATCAGGTGATTCTAGAGAAAAGGAAGGAGAAGGAAATAAGGAGTGTGTTAGCGTACCTGTTCAAGAGCGAGGACTAGAGCTGAAACCACCAGACAACCCCTAGACTTCTACTTCCCCGTTCAGAGGGGTTCAGTCACAGAAAAATAACAGGTAATGTTTGTTGACTACTTGCGACACGTCAGACACAGCTAATAAGGCAGCTAAGCTGGGAGGGCAAATTCAACTACTGTCTCCAGCAGAAAAAAATCACTGGCCTGTATATAATTTCAGAATAATGTATGAAGAGATGCAATGGCTCATTATTGAGTTTTTAATGGAAAAAGATTTGACAAGCGCCGAACAGGAACTTCTGACCTGTTCAGATGAAACAAATATTTCAGGAACAAATATTTTTAGAGGGAGAATATATGTATATGTATATATGTATATGTATATATGTATTTCTATATGTATATATGTACAGATACACATAAACATATGTATATGAACAATACTTTTTATTAAGGTCTAGAGATATTTAATTTTTATTGTTATTGTAACTAATTAATGTAGTCAGAACCTTTTTACTCACCCTACAATTCAACTGTGTAAATAAAAGGCAGCTATTTTATAATCTATAACGGGCTTCATCTTCCTCAGGAGCTGCCACTCATTAATTAGTGGAAAATAAGTTTGGTCTCATGCAGACAGACACGATAACTTAGGTAAGGAAGCCTTTGCTTGGATCAGGTAAACAGATCAGTCTTTCATATTTCTGCTCCTCCTCAAGCCAAGACACTCTCTCCACCAGGGTTCACCTGCTTTACTATAAATGTGGGTACTTTCCTCTCTTCTCAATGTCACCAATGTCTGGCCTGCCAGGAAGTGACCTATCTCACCACCTGTAAGGCTCAGTCTGTGAACCAGATACCAGGCCAGTTTTCTGGAAGACTTTGTAACCTTTGGCTCTATAAAATCAACCTTAGTTCCCTCAAAGTGTCTGGTCATATCTGATTAAATGAACCTCATTCTCGTATATAACACTTATCTATGGCATTATTCTTCAAGGATATGAATTTTAATAACTATATAGTTTTCCATAGCTTGGGTGCACAATAATATCTTCTACAAATTCCCTCTTGTTGGACATTTGATAGTGTTTCTAATGTTTTGGCAGTTTACATATGGCAGAGGTGAACATTTTCACATACAAATCTTTTTCCACATCTCTGAATTTCTATATGATAGATTCCTACATTTAGAATTACAGACAAAAGGATAAGTCTTTAAAAGAATCATGGCATCATACCAGCTTGTGATAAGGGCATGTCTGTGAATAATTTGCCTTTTCACGGGCCATGTCTGCTCTATTCTTTTCCATTCTTTTGTTTATATTCCTCTAGAAATCCACATAATTGTGAACCTAAAGCTCCTTCCTATTCTATGTGAGTGTCATTTTCAAAAACTAGCATACATCTTCAGCCATCTCTGTCACAATTGAAATTGCCTTGGAAATCAATAGGAGGGAGTAAAAATGTCTAGTTTTGTAATATGAAACTAGAGATAAGCAAAACTAGTATGACAGGTTTTATCACTAATGTTTTTACTTAGAAATTAAGCCTCAGTTAGTGCAGCCCCAAAATTGGATGTGAACTTGGCAAAAACATACATATGACGTGGAGGAAAAATACAAGGTTAACCTATTCTTTTGCTAATTTTAAGAGTAGAATATATTTGATCATTCAATTATTTATTTATTCAGCAAATACTTAGTGAATTCTTATTACATACCAGATATCATACTTAGTGTCTAGAGAACAATATGTCCACTTCACCTTTTTATATCCTTTCTAAAATGTTGAGTTGTAACTTTTTGAGGCAACATAAAAGTAGCATTCATTTTCTGGACTAACATTGTGTGTGTGTGTGTGTGTGTGTGTGTGTGTGTGTGTGTGTGTGTGTGTGGTTTATCAGAACTAGTTGTGCCGTTAAGGAAGATGCTATTTCAACTGGTCTAGTTCTCCTTGTCATTCATAGGATTTCTCTCTAATAGAAAAGGCAAATACCACGAAGAGGGAATTGCTGTAACTTTTTACTTGTAAATAGAAGTTACCTTTGTCTGTGCGTTGGAACCCAATTCTGACAGTTTCGCCTCCCTCTGAAATCTCCTGGGGACTAGTTGACTCTGTTGCTGAAATCAGCCTAAAAAAGCCATTTATCTGATTTGCCACTTTGTGCTACAGGATTCTGAAAAAGCAAAAGTGTGTAGCCACCGAATAAAAAACAAAGTTGTAACGACATTTTATTTATTTTGATTTCCATATGTCTTCAACATTACATAGATGAAGGTCAAAATGAAGAAAAATGAGAATGAATATTGTTTTGTGTATGAAAACTGTCTTTTTCTAATAAAACCAAAATGTGAAAAAGCCTTTTAACTAAAGCTACTCCTCTCATGGGACAAATCCTGATGATTCCCTCTGGGACCTCTAATAGATAAGCTCCTTGCTCCAGAACCATTGCACTTTCAAGGTAAAAGAAAATTTCCTCAGAATATCAGTGTCCCCAGTTCCACACAGCAGAACCTGCACCTCTTTCAGAACCTCAAGAGTGTTTATTTTGGGGCTGACCCTGTATAAAGAACACCAAATTTTACTGTATTGCCCTTTTCTTATCCCCTCCTGTCACCTTCCACTAGATTCAGTCTTAGACTCTCTACCGTCTTCCCCACCCCATGTCACCCTCAGCAAATAATCCAAGAGATCCTGGTCCTCCATGGGGGGCCAGTATGGTGTTACTGGCATTTTAAAAGGGACACTGGAAGATGGAACAGTAAGCCCCAAGGGACAGACTCTCTCACTGATGTAACAGAATTACACTGATGTGACAGGTGCTGAGGTAGGGTGATATTTATGAACACAAAGTCCTTCCTTGCATCATGGAAGCATCTGTCCACTCCGGGAACTCTTAAGACCAGCCCCGTTTAGAACCCACAGACACGGTTTCAATTTTTTATGCCTAAGACAGAGCATGTGAGTGAGTGATGTAAGCAGACTTGGATGTAATTGGAAGCAAGCCAACCAAGCAATTCATGGGGAACAAAGTTATGCTGGGCCCGGTCCAGGGGGAAGGAGGACCTTGGTCCCACGCTTTAGGAGCTCACAGGTTTCAAGGGAAGGTCTGAGGGGCCTCACAAACTCATCAACAGCATTGTGGCAGCCTGGATTGTGGATTGAGGGGAGTTTAGAGAATTCAGTGCTGAGAGGCATCACATACCCGTGTTCACCCCTGCATCATACCCGCAACATCGTCCCAACCCCTTGGCCACTTCAGTCAGGCACAAACTGGAATGTTGATCCAATTTTTTAGGCAGTAATGTTTAGATTCCAAGACAAAAAGTATAGAATAAAAGCAAGTTTACAGTACCTCAGACCACCGTAAGCAACACAAATCTCTATTGCACAGAGCTGACGATAAAGATTGATGTGTCCCTGGAAGCTATTTTTTAATTTTGGAAGTTATTGTCATCAAGAGCTGACTGTTAAGAGCAAGATCAGAATGTTTTCTTTTAAGTACAGCAGACTGTGGGTTGTTTTCCTGCAGCTTTGGAAAGACATTAAAAATGAAGTTACCGTGCTCTATCCAGACGCTACTTAGCAGCTCTGTGACATTGGGTGGGTCTCTCAACCTCTCGAAGCCTAAGTTTCCACTTATGTACAATAAACCTCTAATACCTACAAAGTAGAATTGGGGGATTTAAAGCAAGGCAGTGTACGCAAAGTGCTTTGCATGGTGCTTGAAACAAAGCAAGCACTCAATAACTTACGGCTATTATCATAATCACCATTTTTATTATTACCAAAGTTATTCTAAAACTTACAGGATAACCAAATCCTTTTCCCACCATCTTACTCTAGGATTTTACTCAGCCCATCTGACAGTAAACTAAAAATTCTTGATATCTGAATAATACATTTAGCATTTGGAAATCCTTAATTTAGTGGTTCTTTTCCTGGGGTACATGAAAGGGCTTCAGAGGATCCATGAATTCCCTAAAATTTTATGCAGAATTTTGAGTGGGCATGCATCCCTCCAGAGAGAGAATCCATTGCTTTCATCAAACGTGTTCCTGACTCTAAACAAGGTTAACCAGTGCCTGAACTGAAAAGGCTAACTTTCCAATGATAGTCCCAATTATTTTGTAAATCAGCTACTTATGGAGAATAAATAAATCTCACTAATGGGCTTATCCAGAAAAAGATTGACAAATGATTATCTAGAAAAGGTCAATTAATTATCTAGACTGAGAAGTGGGGTTTTTGTGAATAGGTCTTAAATGATGTCAAAATATTATTTGGCCTTTCCTCAGACTCCTGGTTGGTGCTTTATTTAAATAATTTTAAATAAAGGCTGGCAGTAGACAGATATATCTCCTTTTGCTCTTCTCATTGCATCTTGATGTCTCTGGTTCTGTTCCAATGATGCTCCCTTGATTGTCTGTCTGACACCTTAGAGTACCTGTGCACAGGTCTTCAGTTCATCCTAAGCTTTCAGGAAAATGTTGGAGACAGTTTATTTTAGATGGGAGATGTTCCATGTAGTAGCAAGACTTTCCTCACCATTTAGATCCTGCTGTTGTTAGGGATACAAAATAGTTAAGAGTCTTAGATAACATCCTTCTGGATGGTAGTTAAAAGGACATTAAAAAAAAATAAAAAACTTTCCACAGAGGAACTCAGTTCTCTAAGGAGTCTGTGGTGTCTCACATACTGGAAGCCCAAATTTCAAACAGGTTTAGAGTTAAGCTGGTGATTTAAATAGGCGAAAGTCTCTGGATCCCATTACTAATCCCAGAGCCATGCAACCTCCTCATCTCCACAGTGACATTAGTGAGACAGGCGATGGGTGATGCCACACTGCTAACTTCATCGTCTAATCATGCTGCCAGAAGGGACTCAGGACTTGTCTGCCAGTAATGAGTCAACAACTTTTTCCCAGTGATCACTGAGAATGGCACTTTCCTATAGTTGATTAGGAGTGGAATTAGAGAGAAAAGACATAAAGGACAAAGAAAGTAAGGTGTTTTTTTTTTTTCCCTCAGAAAACTAATAGTCCAAGAGAGAATATAAAACATGAAAATGTGAAGAACTTGCAAAGCTAATACAAAATGAGTGTAAATCCAGATGTTGGAAAAATACTATACAAGAGGAGATATTCATGGATGAAGAGGTCCAGAGAGGAGCTGAAGAATTTCAGCAAGGGCTTCCTTCCAAAGGAGGAATGGCTGGAGTCGGGCTTGAGGCCGTGGGGACCATGAGTTGGAACAGCTGGGAGGGCCTTGTGAATAAAGAGGAATAAGATGTAAAAGCACAGATGGGCGAACAATGAAGCCAGACACAGGGTGGGCAATCAGATTCATTTAGTTAGAAGATTCCGTACTTGAGGAAAATGGTCAACTCTAAGAATAAAGCAGAACCTAGATTATGTTAGGTTCACTTATTAGCTCATTCATTCATTCATTCAACACCCATTTATAGTCCACATACCTTAAGGTGGTACTTCTCTTGGCTCTGAAAGTAGACTAATTCTCTGCTCTTACTGGGTCACGTTCTCGGAGAAGGTAGACAATGAACAGAGAAACAATAGATTTTTTAAAATACCACTTGAGTCTACTTGGTGAATGAGGTCCCTCGGGTACGTGTCAGACTTTTGAGCTTGCTGAGATACCGTGGCTTTCTTTCTGAAGGAGAGTAACCAAATCCTGAGGCCCTTCCACTTTGGGAAAAGATTGGAAGACTGGATGGTAAAAGGTGTCATGTCTATCTCTCCTCATTTATTATCCAAAACACTAAATAATCTGGCCTCTTTTTGTTTAACTTTCTGGTGCTAAAAAATTTTCAGCTGAGTTCAGGAATCCCACAGCTATAAGCGCTCTGGTGCAGATGAAGAAAAGATGCTGCTTCCTCGGGGAAGCACCCTGCCAGCGTGCACAACTCGAGTAGGGGAGATTTGGCTGGATTTCGTCAACCAGGAACACTTGTGTAGCGCACATCCTGCACAACCGTTCATGGTGGCTCTGATTTGGTTGAAACAAGTGGATTAGGGAGAACTGAACTAGCCATCAATAAATGACGTAAGTCAGTCCAGAAGCCTCTCTGTTTTTGACTCTTTTTTTCAAAAGCAGGAGTCCATTTTAACCCTGCTTATTGTTTAACAGTTCCCACAATTAAGCCTCACTTAATAAAGCTGGTCCTTACCACACCCGTCCTTATATTAGCAGTTCCATCCTCCCTAACTGCATTAAGGATGCCCTTCCGTCAAGGTGTGAGAAAGGATCTTTCCATGGCCAGGAATGCATGTAGCACAAGTCCATAAAGGTGGATTTCCTAAAGCACCCAGAGAGCCATGTGGTCTATCAAACCCATCTAAACTGGTCAGTAAAGAAGTCCTCCAAGTGCCTAAGGCTGTTTTTGTCAGGTTAATGCTCTCTTGTTTTATTTTAGAGTTCTGGACTTCTGAAAGCTGTTCACTTCATTGTGAGACTAGACAGTCTTTTCTTTCTTTCTTTTTTTTTTGGTATGCGGGCCTCTCACTGTTGTGGCCTCTCCCGTTGTGGAGCACAGGCTCCGGACGCACATGCTCAGCGGCCATGGCTCACGGGCCCAGCCGCTCTGCGGCATGTGGGATCTTCCCGGACTAGGCCTCGAACCCGTGTCCCCTGCATTGGCAGGCAGACTCTCAACCACTGCGCCACCAGGGAAGCCCTAGACAGTCTTTTCTTAAGAAGAACAGTGCTTAAAAGTTCTCATTTCCTTCTATTTGAAGTTTCCTTCGTGTCTTCTCCACTTGCTCTATCAAATTTCCTGATGGCAGGGCTAAGTCACTACATTTGTGACGTCCTGTTCTCTCCAACTTTAATTCAACAGTTGTTCATTGGGAAGCTTCCCTATGCCAGGCACCTTTTAGAGTTGCAGGCGATGCAGAGATAAGTGAGGTAGAGCCCTTCACCTCAAAGAACACAGATTTTGGTAGAAGGAGTTGAACACAAATACAGAAATAACTGCAATTCAAGGCAGCCAACTCAAACCATGGGTGTGAAGAAAGGACTAAATCAGCAAAAAAAAAAACAAAACAACACACACATGGCTTCCCTGGTGGCACAGTGGTTGGGAGTCCGCCTGCCAATGCAGGGGACACGGGTTCGTGCCCCGGTCCGGGAAGATCCCACATGCCGCAGAGCGGCTGGGCCCGTGAGCCATGGCCGCTGAGCCTGCTTGTCTGGAGCCTGTGCTCCGCAACGGGAGAGGCCACAGCAGTGAGAGGCCCGCGTACCGCAAAAAAACAAACAAAAAAAACCACACACAACAGACAGAGAATAAAGAAAAAGTAAAGAATGTGAAAGGCTCACCGTTCTTTATTCCTACCCGGTCTTTCTTCTCAGAGTTTTGAACTTCTAATGTGCTGTGTAGAACAATGTCTTGAGAAGAAACATGGGACAAATTAGTATGTCAGAAGTGTGGAAAAAGTAATTCTTGTAAGCCCAACTATAGTCATTACTCAAAAGAAAGTCAAAAATTAGAAAATGTAGACACCCAAAGGGCAGGTAATTAAGGTTTCAAAAGTTAGAATGGGTGTTATATATACAATACGGATTAAAATATTAACTGCATTGTGTTTGTTAAATGAGGAAAAGTGAATGCATTTTCATTTTGCGTCCTTCAGGTAAACTCTATATGCGGTTCTGTGGCATTTGCTGATAATAAGAATTTGCCTCTTTCAAAATTATATTCAGTCATGGACGCTAATGATGACCCCGATGAAGATCATCTTACAAGTTATGATGTTCAGCTCAGTATTCAAGAATCCATTGAAGCCAGCAAGACTGTGTTTTATCCTGAAAGGTAACATTCAAATTGACTATCCTCACCCAAACTTTTTCATGGCCTTCATTTTGTTGTAAAATGAAATGAATGACATTTCCTGAGCCCTCCTCCAGGAAAATGCTTCCCTTTCTTTTCTGGCAAGGAATTAAATACCGTACAGGAGCCACTGTGCACAAGTTTGGCTATTTGATCTTCTACAAATCCCCATCTCCTGTGGAATATGGAGATTACCTAGATGGGAAATTCCCAGTTGAATTTGGTTGTATATGATTGCCTATTTCCTAAATTCCTATGGAATCAAACAGGACAATAAATAATGTGAACCAATTTGCAAGCACTGTTTATATGACTAACGTATAGCTAAGTATACAGAATCGGTTCTGCTACTGACTCAGGCAGCCTTTGTAAGAAATGGATTCCATGTTGCACCTTTAAAATATGAAGAATAATGCTAATTCACCTAGCCTGTAAGTTTAATGAATGGGAAAAGAGTTGAACGATTTTATTATATATGACAAAGTAATATATAAACCAGAGCCTATTTAATTATCTACTATTCAAGTGACAGCAGTTAACAAATTTCACATAAAATTGGTGCTTTGTGTTGGCAAGAGTTATAGAGTCTAAAACTGCCAAAGTAAATTTTTATCTTGAATAGCATACATTATACTTCTGACAAAAACAAACTTTAGTTTACCTTTACATTCTATTATAGTATTTAGAATCCTGTATTCTGAAATTCTGAAGTGCTTTTGAAAAGGTTCAGTGCTATAAAATTATTGCTTTTGAGCTTTTAAAAAATGGACATATTACATTTAAATTTCTGATCTCGTTAATTTTTCCCTCATCTGCAACAGATTTTAAAACTTAAGAGTTCCCAGGAAGGCATTCACAGTCCTAGAATACCAGTGGATGCTTCTGCTTTAATAGAATTAAATCAATTTCTTACGAAATACCTTGTTGCCTCTGAATAAACACACACACCAGAGAACTTCCTTGAGGGCTGACAATGACCTGCTGGGCCAGTGATTGGGAGTTTGTTCGGTAAATGCTCAGCCTATTTTTCACTTGTGGATCAGTTGCTTAAAGACTCTAACATGCAGTGTAGAGCATACACTCCCAAGTAAGCAATCATTAATTAGCAATTATTAAGTTCAAAGCAACAAACCTTTATTGAGCATAGTGTCTTTAAAGTTGGGAGAAGCCTTAGAGATGTTCCTATTTAATCCCCTCATTCTACCAATGTAGGAACCACCATCCAGAGAGGTTACTGGCCTCCCCAGGATCACAAAACCACAAAACCTGAACCCAGCTCTTCTGACTCTGACTCCAGTTGTTTACCCCTTTTTCATTGCCTACAACTAATTTCAGAGACGATGTTATAATCTTGTTTCTCCATCGTCACTAGTGTTCTTAGGTCCAATGTATCATAAATACACTCTGTATCTGACTTTTAGACATTTATGTTTTTAAAGTAGATAAAATCAGTTGTGTGCATTTCTTTTAGATCTTGATTATTAAAAGTATGTGCAAAAACTAAATAAATGTTTTGGTTCCTTGAAGTATGCCATGAATACAAATATGCCTTGTTTTTCTTTCTCTGTAGATTTGTACCACTAAGTGATCAAAAGAGAAAGCTGGTGGAAGCCATAAAGCAAGGTAAATGGGTGTATCACCTACAGTAGGATGGATTGGAGATTCTACTTGGCCAAGAGATTTGTTATCAGCCCATGTGTTTATTTTAGGTCACATTCTTGAGCTCCAGGAGTATGTGAAATATAAATATGCATTGGATGAGGCTGATGAAAAAGGATGGTTTCCATTGCATGAAGCTGTTGTTCAACCCATTCGACAAATACTTGAGGTTGTCCTGGATGGTAAGAGAACATAAAATCCCCTTGACCAAACTGAAGCCATAATGTAGATGTTATGGAGTAATCCCAATGAACATAAAAAGCAAAAAGAAAAATTAGAATAAAAGATGATTTGCAGTTTGGAAAAGGCAGTACTCATGCTTTAAACTGAGTACAAAGATCAGTACCTTTTGTGGGGTTCAGGGTTCACCCTTTGCATCCTCCTAAAAGTATGACACAGGTTGGTGGGAAGATGTTTGGTGATTATCACTTAAAAGTTTGTCTGCAGCATGAATTAATTTATTTAAAATAAAGCTTTTTGCTTTTAGAAGTCAGTTTTAAATTTTCGTCTTGAATTGTCACTTGAGTTAGTGGTATCCGAAAGAGTATTATTTAGTACAAGTAGTACTTACAATATCTATCCTTATATTACATTAATTTTTTCATAATGCAAACAATAATTATTGCGGTAAGCTTACCTAGGGTTAAATATTAATAATAATTCTGATGTTCTAACATAGTATTTTTCACATCTCAGCATCTTATAAAACAATTTGAAAGTGTTCTACTTTTCAGCCTTCAATGTTGCTCCCTGATTCTGCTGTAGGAGATAATGATAGCTACTGGATAATTAGTTATCCAGCTAGCCAGCCAGCTAAAAAAATGTTAAAAACAGATAATTAGACAGGTAGACAGGTAGACAGATAGTCAGACAGACAGAAATAGATGATGTTAAGCATGGTATTTCTTTTCTGACATATTCTGACTGGATACATTCATTGAAATACTTCTCATTCCCACATTCACAGACTTCATTTGATAAAAAGCAATTTCAGATGCAGTTTAAATAATAATACAAAGGATTGGGGATTTGTTTTACAATTTATTAAGAAATGAGAATTCACAACCCTTTATCATTTTTTTAAAAAGTCACCTTGAGACATAGATGTTGGTTTGCTAGCTGTCAACTTGATTAGCAAGACCACGCTCATCTACTTCTACTCACTGTCATTTGCTAGACTTTAATCATATCTCCTTTTAGTCTCCCCTTTTTCATCAGTTGACTTTGTTCAATCTACTGTAGATAATATCGCATCGTTCTGATCTATATGATATCCTTTAAGTAAAGATTTTTAACTTTACACAATGCTTTCATATCTCAGCATCCTATAAGACGCTCTGGGAGTTCAAGACCTCTGATGGAGAAACACCCTTAACTTTGGCAGTCAAAGCTGGTCTGGTGGAAAATGTAAGAACTTTACTAGAGAAAGGAGTGTGGCCAAACACCAAAAATGACAAAGGAGAGACACCTCTTCTGCTTGGTAAATGACCTTTCTTTCTAGAACTTTTATAATTTGAGATAAATAATATTTAATAAGTATTTATTGGAAACCACTGTGTATTGATTGGCTAAAGTTGTGTGACCTCATCTCCTTCCATTCCCTGAGGTCTTCCCCTAACCCCCATCTCACCTGTCCTATGATTTTGTTTTTCTATCAATACAAAGAGGTCAAATGTGAAAGCTCTTTCAGCAACAATTAATCAGGAGGGATCCGAATGAGGAGTTTTATGAGGCCAGGAGTGCCAATTCTAAAGGAATATTCTCTAACTGGGGTCCAGCTATAAGGAAGATTGCATGTGTGATCTGTAGCCTGAATAAAGAAGCAGAAAGGGAACTCCAAAGAGAGACGTCAGGTCCACAGCAGGACAAGGAAGAAGAACTGAAAGGCAGGAGATCCAGCAGATTCTGAGCACACAGGTGCAGCCCTGGGCACCACTAGGGGGTTGCCACTGTGACACAACACAGGAATGATTGTAAGCCTGAAGGTGTCGATTATCTATCAGCTTCTTCTCAGGCTTGTGTATCCTGCTGCTTGCTGACAGATAAGAATTAGCAGGTCTGTTTGTAGAAGTAGAGAGAGATGAGATTAACTACAAATGACCAAAGATAACCTTTCCTTCTCTTAGGGACATAGGTGTGGAGTAAGAGTTTCCTTCTCTTAGGGACATAGATGTGGAGTAGGAGTTTCGGCTTTGGCACCTGAGATCCTTGGATTTATTTTGCCCCCCATTTTATTGAGATATAATTGACATATAACATGGTATTAGTTTAAGGTATACAACATGATTTGACATATGTCTATATCACGAAATGATTACTACAAAAAGCTTAGTTAACATACTTCACTTCACATAGTTACACATTGTTTTTTCTTGTGTTGAGAACTTTTTCTTTTTTAATTTATTTATTTTACTTATTTTATTTTTGGCTGTGTTGGGTCTTCGTTGCTGCTCATGGGCTTTCTCTAGTTGCAGTGAGCGGGGGCTGCTCTTCGTTGCGGTATGCAGGCTTCTCATTGCGGTGGCTTCTCTTGCTGTGGAGCACAGGCTCTAGGCGCGTGGGCTTCAGTAGATGTGGTGCTCGGGCTCAGAAGTTGTGGCTTGCAGGCTCTAGAGCACAGGCTCAGTAGTTGTGGTGCACGGGCTTAGTTGCTCCGTGACATGTGGGATCTTCCAGGACCAGGGCTCGAACCCGTGTCCCCAGCGTTGACAGGTGAATTCTTAACCACTGTGCCACCAGGGAAACCCCAAAAACTTTTAAGATCTACTCTCTTAGCAACTTTCCAATATACAATACAGTATTGTTATGTGAATGTTAATTCTAGCTGTGAGATTGTAGTCATAGACCGCAGTTTCCTCCAGTATAAAATGGAAATACAACACCACCATGCAGAATTGTTATAAAAAATTAGAGAAAAATATAAATATGTAAAACTCTTGCCACATGGTAGATGCTCAGGAGAAGAGAGACGTTATGAAATAGTGTAGGCGTGGCAGGAAGAGAGGGAGAAGCCTTGAGATTGTGCACCAGCAGTCACAGAGGAAGCAAATAAAGCATCACGAGCTGTGGGCACAGCGAGAAAACAATACCACAGCTCCTGTCCACACTAAAAATCACTAAAATTTTTATTTATTTATTTTTTTGCGGTACGCGGGCCTCTCACTGTTGTGGCCTCTCCCGTTGCGGAGCATAGGCTCCGGACGCGCAGGTTCAGCGGCCATGGCTCACGGGCCCAGCCGCTCCGCGGCATGTGGGATCCTCCCGGACCGGGGCATGAACCCGTGTCCCCTGCATCGGCAGGCGAACTCTCAACCACTGTGCCACAGCGAAGCCCTAAAAATCACTAAAATTTTTAAAACAACCTGAATATCAGTAACAACCCGAATATCAGTAACAGAAAACTTAGACAAGTTGAACATCAGTAAAGTATTTACATTTGACAACATTAATTCAACAACATCAGTGCAACCAACGTTTACTGAAAAGTCCCAGTAAGCCAGCATGTGCCGGACAGCATGGATAGAAAGATGAATGTTATGATCGTCTTCCTCTCAAACAGTCTAGCAGGAGAGCCTAGATATGATTGAAATAGAGTATTAGTGTTAATACATGCTATAACAAAGGTGTATATTCAACGTAAATTGGGGAAATAAGAAAGCAGTGAATCTGTGAAGCTTCTAAAGAGAAAGTTGCTCTTGAGTTGTGACTTGGGGGGATGTAAAGGGGATCGTCGGCAGACAGGGGAGGGAAAATCTCCTAGGCAAGCCTTCGCCCCTGGACAAGATTGTTACATGAACAGTGTCACCACAGCGTAGGCGCATTCTGATCTGACTCCTTACTTACTCTTGCCCTGTGTCAGAGCTTTCAGCCTTCCCAAATTCAGATTAAGTTGGACAAACTTATTATTACAGTTAGGGTAGAGGTAAAGCTTCCATAACAAAACAAACAAACACAGACACACAACACAAACAAACAGCAATGACTTCAAAAGGAAGAAGTTCATTCCTCTCTCACACAACATTTCAGAAGTGAGTGGCCTAGGGCTGGCAGGGTGGATATGCCTCCTTTACACAAGACTTTCAGATGTTACCTTTTCCAGCCAGCAGGGGGAAGGAAAGAGGCAGCCTTGGGAAATCATGTTGGCCTCTAAGAAAATGACCTAGACATTGTACACAGCACTTCTGTTCATACCATGTTGTTCAGATTTTGTCACATAGCCACATTTAGGTGCCAGGGAAGCCGGGATATTTAGTCTCTACCTGGATAGACTGTGAACAGCTAAAACTTGGGAGCTTCTCTTGCTCGAGGAAAAGGGGAAACACAAGTACTGAGGAAGAGATGATTTTTCTCTGCATACATGTTACCAGCCTTTATGTCACAGTAACATGGTGCTTTTCATAAATGAACGGAACTGTTTTCCTGAGCAGGGACAGATACTAAATGGAATATCACCTCTGGTTGTTTCACCACTATTAGTGTGATCTACTATTTTTGTAAAGGCATATACCATGGAGTATTTGCATGTATTTGTTGGTGTTTCTATAGTCTTTGATTTCTGCAAAAAAGATACCCTTTTCCAGAGTTTGTATACTATCTCACTTTGCAAATATACAATTATTCTCTACTTCCTATTCTCAATCCACTCATGTTCTTAAGGGACAACTAAGTCATGATTATCATTCATTTGTTTTCTTTTGGCTTCATTTAAATTTTTCTTTACTGCTTAATGCCCACAACAGAGCATTAAGTATTTATATGCATTTCAAAGTCTCCATTGTTGATCTCTCTACTCTAGCAATAACTAAAGTATGGGAAAGGAGCTTGATCGTTGAGTTATCAGAGTCAAAATAGAATTAACATTTGGAAATAATATTTTTAAAAACCAACTGGTAACATCAAAGATATAATCAAAGTCTCATGAAGGAAATATTATGGAGGTGTTCACTTATGTCCCTATCATCCACATTTCTGGAGAATAGGGACTCTCCTTGGGTTACCTTCTTCAGGACATTCATTGTGGAATCTATGTCAAGTCTTTTTAAGTTCATAGGAAAATGGATCATCCATGGCACTTTCTCAGTTTTTTCTTGAATTTTGGGGCTACTTTTGGCTACTCACAGCCCATTAACATATAAAGGAGAGATAAGAGAAAAAAGTGCTCTTTTAAAAAATAAATTTTGATGCGCAATGCCATTTTTATTTGTCTTAACCTGTCATCATTATCTTTGTCTTTATTTATGGAATACTCCTTAGATGGAAAAAAAAAATCACTTTTGGTCCCTTCAGGGCCTTTTTTCCCCATCAGCCACCTGGCCCTTACTTATGGTACTTAGATGTATTACAGTCATGTTATACAGTTACTTGCTGAGTGTAGATATCTCATTTGTGATGATCTGACAGTTATTAAATGTTTTTTGCCCCCGGACTCCCTCTCTACCCATCCCTCTGAACCTGGTGTAGCCTTTCTCCAGTAGTTTAGCCGCAAGATTATCCTGGCCGGTGGGTCCCAGGGTACAGAGGAAGCCGAGGGAACTGTCTGGCACAACATCTCAGTTCCACTGCCCTCCGTTTTCCGAGAACATTATGCCATTTACAATTCAGTTAATTTTACTTCAGACATTTTCTTTCTCACAGATCAATACATATCCTCTCTACTCCATCTCCTCTTTCAATCTTTAAATCCTTGTCAAAATACTGCAAAAAAAAAAAATCTCTTCTCTATTGGTATGTTATATGAGTCAGAAGATAACTCACTGCCGAGATTAAGTAAATTATATGAGCAAAACACATATATCCAGAAAGAAAATGACAGAATTTTTTTTTTTTTTTGCGGTACGCGGGCCTCTCACTGTTGTGGCCTCTCCCGCTGCGGAGCACAGGCTCCGGACGCGCAGGCTCAGCGGCCATGGCTCACGGGCCCAGCCGCTCCGCGGCATGTGGGATCTTCCCGGACTAGGCCTCGAACCCGTGTCCCCTGCATTGGCAGGCAGACTCTCAACCACTGCGCCACCAGGGAAGCCCCGAAATTTTTTTTAAAAAAGAAAAGTGCCAGCAAACTATAAAGTGTTCAATACTGCCTATAACCAATGCAAAATTCTCTAATTCCCTAACTCTTCAACTGAGGCTTGTTTCCTCTAAGCATATAAAGATACATATATGTGAAATATATTTTTTACTTCATATATTATTTAATTTGTATTTTACTTAGCTACATTACACGAGTTCTGTACCTTGTTAGTTTTCATTATTTTAGCCAATTATTTGTTAAGAATGTCTTCATGGGTTAGCTTGGGAGGGGTTCCCCATGATTTTGATTATTATTTCTATGAGAAATAAAATGTATTCTTAGTCCCAAAACTTAAACTGCAAGCAAAGTTTTAATTATTTTAAGTTGAATATGGCTTATATATGCTGTTATTTTCTTGACAAAAGACTAATATCTCTAATCAACATGTTCCCTGAGTCAGACAAAAGGAAAACAGATCATGAGGGAAGAGGTTCATTATTTTAATACATTTTTTCTAAGTAGAAAAAATGGAATAGGAGCAAGAAGATAAATGAGGACACATTATCTCTTAGTTTGTTTAACTTATTGATGTTTGCAAGAGCACCAGCCAGGATGAGGTAATTCACTGTAATTAGAGCTGCCAGTGGCAGGTGGGTGATTCAGAGAAAGGCATTTGTCAGCAGACTCTGCTTCAGACAGTAAGCAGAAGAAAAACTGAAATCTCACTGCCTGATGGCTTGCCTGCCTCCAAATGAAATAGGCCAAGTTTGTCTTCATCCTCCTTTTATGCCTTTTGGAGCCCTTTCCCTTGCTTTGGCCTCAGAGCCTTTCTGGATTCTGCCTCCTAGCTGCCCGGGATGTTCTATGTGGCCCTACATGTCCTCCTGCCTTTCCCAGCAAAGGCCCAGACTCTGAGTCTCTCTTCAAACAGAAGACAGTGTAGGTTTCTTCCCCAGGCTGTAAATTCCACGAGGGAGAACTACGTCTGTCTTTTTCCTGTTGTCCACAGTGCCTAACTCAGTGCCTTTCATATAGCCAGTGCGTATTAACTGCATGAAAGGATGAATGAACGAATGAATGAGTGTTAGAGAGTGGCACTCGTCCTGCTCTGTTTCTTACTAAGATTTTACTTGACTGCTAAGAGGAAAATGCATTACCTCTTTGAGAAGTATTTATATCTAAACTGGGACAATCCATTAACAATCCAAAGGGGGGGAAAACTTTTAACAGTGTAATTTCAGCTATTAGAAAAAAACAGAGAGGGAGAGAGACATCCGATTTAGTGAACCTTGGAAAACGTAGTACATTAGCTGTCACTTACTTCACCTATAAAAAAGAACAACTGACCTATCTGGATTCTAAACATTCCTATTGCTAACCTCTCATAAGAGTATGGGAAAGAGAAGTTTATTTAATATTTACTGCTGGATTTGGTGGGGAAAAAACTCATTCTAGAGGGAGAAAAATTTGATAAACATTATTTACACATGTGGCTCCATGATCCTAGAAGTGATGAAATTATAGTAATAATAATGCTTATCATTTATTGAGCTCCTAGTATATACTAAGCATTTTACATACATACATTATTTAACTTATACAAAAGTTGATGTTATTTTCATTTTGTTGATGAAGCAACAGAAGTTTAGGAAGAGTACACACAGCTTCCTTAGTGATAGGCATCCTGTTTTCCATGAAACTCTTACCCATCCTCAGGTCTGTCTTAAAGAAAAGGCAGTATCATCTTGCACGCTAACACTTCACAATAGGAATTTGGTATGAGAAATAGAAGGGGTGTGAAAAATACAAGAAAAGAAATCACTAATATCTCTTTTGATATTAAACCTGGTCATTAGTTTAATGCCATGTAAGGTATTCATGTTATATGCCTACCATTGACTATTCTTTCTAAAATCATCTTCAAGCTGTGAAAATGGGCTCCTATGACATGGTGTCTGCCCTGCTTAAACACCACACCAGCCTTGACCAGCCCTGTGTCAAGCAATGGTCAGCAATGCATGAAGCAGCCAAACAAGGCCACAAAGATATAATAGCTCTACTACTAAACCACAGAGGCAATGTCCACCTAAGAGACGGATTTGGAGTCACCCCGTTAGGTGTTGCGGCCGAGTATGGTCACTGTGATGTGTTGGAACACCTGATCCACAAAGGTACGTAGAAAAGGAATTGCATGTTGCTGACTTTTCTCCTGCCTCTTGGATCTCCTTTTCTCCACTTCTCACTGGCTCCTCTTCCTCTCCTGAATGTATCTGGGCATCAAGCTTTTGTCCCATCCGTCGATCGCCCCTTCAATAGACCCTTATTGTGCAACTCACTTGAACCCTATGCATGGGGACCTACAAATCTGAGTGCCTGGCCCTGACTGCTCCCAGTTTTCACATAGATGGCTCACCAAGGTCTCACACTCATCTTCTCCTAAATTGAATTCCTCTTCTTTCACACTTTTAATAATTTCTCTCAGCCAAGACTGAGAGCTTAGATTTATCTCTGATTCCCCCATCACCTTCTGTTTCAAATATGGTCAGTTGCCGTGTACTACAGCAACCCTCTCTCTCACCAGTTCTCACCTTGGCAGACCCTCTCATCTGCATCCTCCCATCTTCCCTGGACCAGTGTAATTGGTTCCTAACCACTTTCCTGGTTTCCAGTCTCTCCATCTGCGAATCCATACTGTATATTACAACTCAGCTCCTCTCCCTAAAGGTCAGCTACAGTAGAATAAACGATTCAGAAAATCCTCAGTGGCTCCCCACTGCCCACTGAATCATGCTCAGGTCCCCACTGCACCATCCTGAATTGTTTTTCCAGGTTTATCTCTCACTACTCCTAATATGTATCCTGTACTCCAGTTAAATAGCCTAGCAATATTCCCAAACATACCTTGCATTCATTCTTTCCGGGTTTGGGTCAGGTCCTCGCCCTCATCTGGAATACTCTCCAACACAATTCAAAGTTAATGTCTTGAGACACCTCCTCCCTGAAGACTTTCCTAATTCTTCCCAACAGAGCGTGATGCTGTCCTCCTTTGAAACCTCCAAGTGCTTTATACAACAACGGAACCAGGAATTAAGATACCGACTTCTTAAACTGGTTTCTGCCACCTACCCGTTGTCTGACTCTCGCCTAGTTACTTAAGCACCTGGGTCTCAGTTTCCTCATCTGTAAATAAAGGCTAGGACAACATTATCCTCTGTGGGGAAAGGACTAACATTTTTGAGGCGCCCCCCAAATGCAACTTCATTTAATTATCAAATCAGCCCTATGAAATAAGCTGTATTACTCTAGCTCACAGATGAGGAGTTGGAAGTTCATAGAAGTAAATAGCTTGCCGCAAACTCTCACAGTCAGCAACAAAACCACAATGCAAACAGATCACTTTCCCCTACATCATGCCTTCTGGTCCTGACGTCACTTGAATATTATACAGTTTGTGCTCTTTGATGATATTTTGTCTCATTTCCCCTCAGAGCCACTTAAGAGAGTCAGATTTATTTATCTTAGCACCTTCTGCTGGGTCACACATGGTGTTTGCACACAGAAGACAGTTGATAAATATTTCTTGAAATCGAGTGTTAACTGCTGTCTCTAAAAGTCTAACTGTACCTTTTTGGGGGAGTCTTTGTTTATCGTGGAAATTGACTTGATTTCTCAGATGTTCTTATGACAGAAAGATTTTCTAATAGAATGAAACACGCTGCATGACTGTTTGTTGAAAAGACTGAGAACACAGGTGTTCTTAATTCTATACTTTTAAGTCCTAACCAGAAAGGAAAACCACAGGCTATTTTTAAGGAGATTATCTTGACAGTCTGTCCAGCTATCACTATGCCGCATGTTTTATACTGCCAGGAGGGGATGTGTTTGCTTTGGCGGATGATGGGGCATCAGTGTTGCTTGAGGCAGCAGGAGGGGGCAATCCTGACTGCGTCTCCCTCCTGCTGGAATATGGAGGAAGTGGAAACATACCTAACAGAGCAGGGCATCTTCCTATACACCGAGCTGCCTACGAGGGACATTATCTGTGAGTAATAAATCATAGCATGATCATTTCAAGTGGAAAAACACAAGCTTGTATATATGGTATAATCCCAAATCTATCTATACACCTCCGAAAATCCAAAAAGAAAAAGGAAGAATGTTCACAAGTTTTGTATATCTATATATTTGTTTGATTTTTCCCATTCTTTTTGTATTCTTTTACTTTAAAAAATTTCCACATCGAATTTATACTACTTTTAAAATGAAAAGATATTTTCTTTTAGAAGAAGGTAAGTTATAAGTGAGAATTCTGCACAAGCCGCCCAAATGTGCCTTTTTGTTTTTTGTTTTTCTTAATACGTTTAACAGATGGCTACAGGTTTCTAAAAATTTTGCCCTTGGCCAAGGGTTAAAATTTGTGTTACTCTAATCTTTATCAACACCAACAGATATTATAATATAATGTCAAATTTATTCTTGAATAGAAAAGTTTCATTATAAATTTAGGTATCTTTATTCCCCCAAATAAAAAGGCCAGATATACTTTTTAATCACAAAAGTGTACCACAACCAACATATCAATAGAAATCTATAATCATGATATTAAACTACCCACCATGAAAGGATGGTTTTAGGTAATTAAGTATATTTCATAAGTTCAAAAACTTTGAAATCATTAGGCTTTATCACAATTTCAGTGGTGACATTGGCTAAGTTAAGTAGCCAATGACACGTAATTGACACTAAGTGACACATTGTTAAAGTTCATAAATTCACACATGGTAGCTCCGAATTAGGCACAAGAGATCAACTTATCCTTGCCTGTGGCTCTCATACTTCTCTAGTTCATCAGTCAAGTGTGAAATTCACAGCTATTTGTCACAGGTTCTTTGAAACATAAGCTGTGGTTAGTTGTCTCGGTTGAACTGATGTAAGGTTGGTGGAACAACAAAGACTCTTCTTGTTGCCAATAATTCAATTTCAAGTAAGCAGACAGGATATACATGGCCGATATTAAAGCATACATTGCTCAGGAAGCAGTGAAAGGGGAGTAACAAATGAGAATTCAAGAGGCCTAAATTGTAGTCATTGCCCTACATCTATGTGACCTTGGACAAGTCATTTCACTTCTCAAGACTTCATATGGCTCTGCTGGTAATAAAGGGGTTGAACTCAGTGATGTTCAAGGTCACTTCCATCTCTAACTTCCTGTGACTCCATGTTATAATGGTCAAGAGTGTGAAGCATTCTTCTATGGCATCAAATGAACTTACTTTCCTATTATATTTTTTTCGTTACATAGCATTGGTTGATTATAGATATTATGCTGTTCAGAGAAGAACTGAAAGATGGGGAGGGTTCCTGAATAATTACAATTCTAGGACCAAATATATAAGATCCAGTATTTTCCCCAGGAATATTTAGCCTGGGAAGCTAAATCAAAACTAAACTAAATTACACTAAACTGAAAAGTAGTAAGTCAATGGACAAATACTAAAAGTTTTTGTGTAAGGTTATCTACAGAAAATAAAGGAAACTAAGTAAATTGCATTCACTTGTCTAGTGAGGAAGTTGGTTTATTTAATTTCTTGATTTTCTTCATGCCATGTGGATATTTGATTTCTTTTAGTGCACTGAAATATCTTATTCCAGTAACATCCAAACATGCAATCCAGAAAAGTGGGCTAACGCCAATTCACTCAGCAGCAGATGGACAAAATGCACAGTGCCTAGAACTGCTTATTGAAAATGGCTTTGATGTCAATACCCTGCTTGCTGACCACATTTCCAAGAGCTATGATGATGAACGGAAGACTGCTCTCTATTTTGCCGTTTGCAATAATGATATCCACTGCACAGAAGTCCTCCTGGCTGCAGGTGCAGACCCAAACTTAGATCCCCTCAACTGTCTTCTTGTGGCAGTGAGGGCCCATAATCATGAAATTGTCAGGCTGCTTCTCGCCCATGGAGCTAATGTCAATTGTTATTTCATGCATGTGAATGACACTCATTTCCCCAGTGCCATTCAGTATGCCCTAAATGACGAGGTAATGCTCAGGCTGTTGCTGAATAACGGCTATCAAGTGGAGATGTGCTTTGACTGCATGCACGGGGACATCTTTGGAAATTCGTTTGTATGGTCAGAGATAGAGGAAGAGATACTGCCGGGATGGACGTCTTGTGTCGTAAAAGATAACCCGGTGAGTTACATCCTTCTCTTCTTCATATTGGGTCATCATCCTAACGTTTGCTCATCAGGGATGTTAGAAGAAAAGAAAAATCAACTCCAACTTTTATATTTTTCTTGTTCTTGAGTTTTTGTTTGCAATGATATGGGGAAATAAGCATAAAACTAGGCCAAAAAAAAGTGTATTTTTCTTGAATTCGAAACCGAATGTTGAAGAATGTGGGAAAATATATCAATAATTTATGCTTATTTGGTGGAATGTTGGGGCTAGAAGCATGGAAAGAAGCATGATTCTTCCACATCGTGCTGAATACAATCGCATCAGAGCCACGCGTGCTTCAGGGCTCATAGTTTCACAGAAACAAGCAAACCGTTTATTTTTCTTTTTTTGTTCATTACAAGGAGGGAACTTTCACTTCCTGTAAAATGACAGATAATAATTTTTCAGAACAAAATTAAGTGTTTTTGTATATAGTGTATTAAAAGTACTACTAAATTAAATTTCATCACTTCTCTCAGTTCTGTGAGTTTATTACAGTTCCTTGGATGAAACACTTGGTAGGCAGTGTTATTCGTGTATTAATGGATTACATGGATTATATCCCTCTGTGTGCTAAACTGAAATCTGCACTAGAAGTACAGAGAGAATGGCCAGAAATCCGTCAAATACTAGGTAAAAGCAAAAGTTTTTCCTACAAAATTTTTTATGGAGAATGAATATAGGGGATATTTCTTTTTTTTTTTAACATCTTTATTGGGGTATAATTGCTTTACAATGGTGTGTTAGTTTCTGCTTTATAACAAAGTGAATCAGTTATACATATGGGGGATATTTCTTAATGTCATTTTTGATACTTTTTCATAGCTACTTTGTTTTCAGAATTATCTGTTTTTTCAAATCATCTTTAATACTTCCTCTGATATAAGATACTAATTTTTTGCTTTCCTTGATAATTTCCAACTCTTTAATTGTATAATGAGTAATCCTATTACTATATTATATTCTGACTAGAACTCACTTTTTAAAAGTTAACTGCTATATATCATAAACTATATAGACTGTAATCTCCATGTGGGCAGGGATCTGTTTTGTTTATTTTTGTATTCTCAAGGCTTAGCATAATGCCTAATAAGCAGTAAATACTCAATAAATATTGAGTAAATGAATGAATGGAATGAATTGGAATTATCCTTTTTGATATGCTGTCTTCTGGGTCTTTATTGACAAATTCCTACCATCAAAAGTATGTATTACAAGCAGGCCATTTTGTATTCTCTAGGTTAAAGTTTACTTATAATCATAAAAGTGCATCATATTGCAAAAGTTTCAATTAAAGTGCATCTAAAATTACTCCAAATTCAAATAGAAACTAGAAAAAAAATCATAAGCTGGAAAGGCTTTCTCTTTCAAAATATGAGTTTGGAAAAATGAACTTTCAAAAACTACATGGACATCACTTTATAGAGCCCGAAGAAGCATCATAGAACTTGGCATTACATTTAAATATTCTGGCACTCTTAATACACCTAAATCAAGTTTAAATGTGAAAAACCGTGACAGCCTAGCCTTTAGGATCAGCCAAATTTTATGCAAATTAGTAGATTATATTTTATAGGCAAGAAGATGAAACTGAAACGTTGAGCTGATTCACATACCATATTTGTTAGGTATAAAGTTCTAGAAAAAGAAACGGGCAATATAGTGGTTTTCATCTAAGCACTTTGTTTCCATCAGAGTCTCATACATTAAAGTATATAATCTGAATTTGGGCCATTTTGACTATGGTAGCAAGAGACGTAAATTGGAGGAAGGATGGAGACTTTGATGGGCTAGAAAGAGTGATAGTTCAACTGAATGCAGATTTGGAGGTAATCTTGGATTTTCCTCACATGGCGCTTCCACTGGAATGAGTTGGACGGTACGAGAGACTTTGTGGCAACTGAAACAGGAACCTTAGAGAATCTGATGAATCGTATAGTATCGTGAGCCTAGAAATCGACCTCTGGGGTCAGATAGACCTAGAATGGGATGAAACTCTGGCCTTGCCTAGGTGTAGGATGGCTGGGTCATATACTGCATATGTCATTCAGGGCTGATATTTTCATGGAAATAAGCAATAATTTGTTGCATCATTTTTGTTTCATTGAGGGGAGGGGAATTTTTTATTTCCTGTAAAAAGACCAAGATAGTCATACTAGTTGTGTAACTTTGAGCAAGTTACTTATCCTTTTTATGAGGTTTTCCCACTGCAAAATGGGGCTAGCATAGTACTCATAAGGTTGTTGTGGGGATTTAAAGAGATGATGCACGTGAGGTGTTTGGCATAAAGCCTACAGCATTAAAAACACTTATAAATTTAGCTATTTTAAAAACTAAATTATTAGCATTTTATGTTATTTTTATTATGGTAAGGTTACATGAAGTATCTGAAATGTATATGTAAAGTATGTCATGAATCCCCACAACTTGTAGAGTTAAGTGTTATCATTGCTAATTTTTATAAATAAAAAACTAAGGCTAGGGCTTCCCTGGTGGCGCAGTGGTTGAGAGTCCGCCTGCCGATGCAGGGGACATGGGTTCGTGCCCCGGTCCGGGAGGATCCCACATGCCGCGGAGCGGCTGGGCCCGTGAGCCATGGCCGCTAAGCCTGCACGTCCGGAGCCTGTGCTCCTCAATGGGAGAGGCCACAACAGTGAGAGGCCCGCGTACAGCAAAAAAAAAAAAAAAAAAAAATATTATAAGAAAAAATAGAAAGAGGAACAGAATAACATCCCCACAGACAACAAAAGCACACCAGAAAAACATGCCCTCAGAACAGATTAAAATTGAAACCCTCTGTTTCAAAACAAGCTAAAAAGCATAAGGAAAATGACACAAGACATGAAAGAACAACACAAGTCAGTATTAGAAAAATTCAGAAATGAGGTAACAGTACTGAGGAAGGAATTAGAAAGAAAAACAAAAAATTAATTTCGAATATAAAGACTGAACTGGAATGAAAGCAAGAACTAATAACAAAAAATTAATTTCGAATATAAAGACTGAACTGGAATGAAAGCAAGAACTAATAATGCAATAGATAATGACTTAGGAGAAATAGAAGATGAAATTAAAGAAGATTTTAAAAATAAAGTGGAAATAAAGGGATATATAAAAGGCTTTGAAAGACAGGGACAGTTTTGAAGAGAGCTAAAGAAAAAGAAAACCAAACAAAGGAACAGAACAAATACAAAAATGTGTACTGTGAAAAACTTTCTGTAATAAAAAAAGATTTGAAGCTGAAAATTACAAATTACTATACCCTTTGGTCATGTAGGTAAAAAGAACCAGTGAGTTATAAGGGAAAAATTCAGATTATCTTAAACAATATTACTCTTCTGATCACGTTCTCAAGAATCTCCTAAAAAATAAGCTTCAGACAAACCAAAATAACTAAAGAGATAATGACATAGGACCAGTAACGAGCATTAAACAGAAAAGCAAGACTAAGTGCCAGTTAAAAGGGAGAAGATATGTAATGGTTATACTGTCAGATAATGTAGATATGACACAACTGTTTTTAATGGGAGAGAAATGGAAAGAGCACACACAAAGACATTTTTAACAGAGCTCAGAAATTATACTGGTTGGTAGCATGATATTGTTATGCTGAGAATGAGAGATGTAGTCAGTACCTAGGATATTCTAATTCTATTATTCTTTGTGTCCTTGAGAACCGGGATTGCCAGTGTGGAAGAAAGGGAATACAGACATAATATGGAAGAGCTTAAAGAAAAATTCTGTAGCTCTGAATTTGAATTGGTACTACTAGTATGAACTCATAAACTATTTTACCTTGAAAGCGTGTGTGTGTGTCTATCTGTCTACAGAAGAGTCTTAGAAATAATGACAAGCCCAGTAGCAGTGCATATCCCTAGCACCCAGACTGTGGCTTTGAAATAGCATTTCCTAGAAAAATAAACCAAAGTTTCTTGGAGAAATGGATGATTTCAGGTTTGGGGAAGGAAATATGCAAGATGACTCAGGTATATCTGGTCATGCCAGATAAACTCTCACAGACTCATGTCCAAAGAATTCAGGACCCAGCTTGAGGCTCCCACTGGCCAAATATGGGACAATTTAAGCTTCAAAAGGATAATTATTTCAATGAATTGAAACCAATTAAAATATTTAAATATAATATTTAAAAATTGGTCAGCTCCAAAGGATAAGGAAATCAATTCATCATCTTGAAAATTAATGAAGGAAAAGATGCAAGCATTTATTCCACCATACCTGTATGATTTGTGCCACCAGTAACCAAAGAATACATGAGCAAACGTATCCTTTTATAAAAGTATTCCAAATAATAAATTAAAAAGAAATGATATAATTAGATATCACCATCTTGCAGCCCTCAGTAAGCTGCTAATACCCTGTAATGTGGTTCTTGGTGCAAGAACACAGCACCAGCTATAGTTTTGCCAAAGAGATCAAACCTGAGTCTGATCAAGCCTCTGGATCCAGCTAATAATCTGCAAGAAATAGAGAAGGCAGTAGGACACAGAAGTGCACCATGAAAATGCAGTCTCAAAGTTCAGGCTGTGGGAAATACGGCATTTTGGATGTTCAAAGATTAATTGAAAGGAAGAAGGGGATAGAGAGAAGACCTTGCAGATTAAAAAAGCCTTAAAGAACACATCAAATTCAAAAATATATTGTCAATACTATAGGGTAGGGATAGCACACTGAGATGATGAAGCTCTAAAGGAAATGATTACTATAAAAATCAGAACAGTAGTTCCTTATAGGGGAGGAAGGAATGAAGTTTGGGATGGATTGTGGAGAGAATTCTGTTATGGCTGGGGAAGTTCTTCTGTTCGTGACCTGGAAAATGATTAAAGATGTTCACCCGATAATGACTTATAATAACTTAAGAAACTGTATGTTTGTGCGGTGGCTTTATCTATATTTTATTTTACAGTAGACGAGTTAAAATATTTTGGAGATTGTAAAGGAAAAAACCCTAAAGCTTAGATAAATTCATTTCCCAAAGTTATAGACAGAAAATAATAAAGCAAGGATTTGAACTCTTAGGTCTGTCTCACGTCAAAACAAAGGCTCTTTCTCCAATACTACTGTGCTTCCTGTTATAGAACAGATTCTACTTCTAATTGGTAATTCATTGTCCATGTGTTTGTGCTGCAAAAGAATGACCAATTCTTATTTTAGAAAAGCAATCCAAGTAAGAATAAGACCAGGAAGTTTTTTTATTGTTTCAGTCACACATCATTGCAACTAGGGCTTAAGTCAGTTGATTGCTATGAGTATGGTTAACCACTGGATGTCAGGATTCCTCCAGGTATACGTAGGGCAGAGGCTTTGTTAGGGAAAAAAATAAAATGGTAATTTTTAAAAAAAAGATGGGTTTATTCTGCCTATTTTGGTAACAATAACTTTGCCTCAGTGGTTTTTCAAAAACACTGTTTTAATTTTTTCAAGATAATTTGAATGTTTATAATCTCAAATAGAGCAGAAATGTGATCTCTTTGATTATTGAATTGAGTGATCGTTCACATTATTGAATGATTACAATGTACCAAGCACTTTTCTAATACTTTACATGAATTAATTTGTTCGATCTTTAAACAGCCCTGTAAGGTAGGGTTATCCACATTTCCCAGGTGAGAATACTGAGACCACAGAGGTTAAATAACTTGTCCAAGATCACACAAATACGAAGTGGCAGAGCCAGGATTTTAATCCAAGCCGACTGAGTCCAGAGCCCACAACTAAGTCCATGTGCAATGCTGCCTTTTCACTAGCTCATGTTGCTGGGATAATATATCGGTACTGTAATTATACTATAGATAAAGGTACTAAGAGATAAAGTAAGAGTTGAAAATAAAGGTTAACATCAGCTATTTGAATAACATTAGTAGATTTTTTGGAAAATATAAAATGTTTAGGTATCAGACACTGAAACAAACCTAAGATTGAATAATGGATATATGGAATCATTTGTATCAGATGTTTCACAGATAAATATTCATCAGAAAGATTGGTAGGAGAGAGCGGAAGTAAAGAAATATATCTTTCAAATACTCAATTCTAAAAAATAAATAGGAGATGTGAGCCTTTGCTTTCTTTAATCGAGTCCATTCATTCATTTAACATATTGTAGTTGAACACCCTGTAGGAGCCAGACTCTTTCTGACACAGAGGCAGACTAAACGTCTGCCTTCATAGAGCTTACATTCTAGAGGAATGGTCTGGAAGGCTTAATTGCAATTTGAATTTTACTTAAAGTCAGCAACTGCTAATGTGTGCATGCCTGTTTTTTAGAATGACACTATTAATATTATTCTAAAACAGCCTGTATCTTACAGGTTAATCCATTAATATTGTTTTTATTTTTCGCTTGTTTTTCCCATTCACTTTAGAGAATCCCTGCTCCTTAAAGCATTTATGTAGGTTAAGAATTCGAAGACTTATGGGACTCCAGCGACTCTGCCAGCCAGCCTTAATGGAGAAGCTCTCTCTGCCACCAAGTATTCAAAGATATATATTATTTAAAGAGTATGATCTCTATGGACAAGAGCTAAAATTGCCATAATTTAAAATAATATTTTAAAATGTGATTTTAAAAATGTGTTTAAATGAGATTCCTTCAGAGAATTTCTTGGAACCATTTTATATCCTTATGTGTATTTAAATCCATTGACAATTTTATAACTGGATCCTGGGTTCTTTTGGGAGCACCATATTTTACATCTCTAAGGACCTTTTACATTGTGATTTTTTAAAGCTAGTCAATATTTTGCATTTGAATTTCTATTGATTGTCTTCACTTGCAGTAAGTCTTCAAACTCTCCTTATCAAGTGACTCCTACAATATCCATGAGCAAGTCTCTCCTATGTTTATAAAACAAAGAACCACTTTCTCAAACCCACATCTCCAGCCAGTTGCTGCCCCATTCTCTCCTTTCTTTTATCGCCACACGGCGTAAAAGGGCTCTTTCCTGTCCGCAGATTCACTCACTGTAATCTGGCTTCTGCTCCTTCCACGGCCCTTCCCAAGGTCCTTAACAACTTGCTTGTTGCTGCTTTCAATGAGCATCCTTCAGTCCTTTCAACTGATTCCTGCAGCAACTGACTGATTGCCTGCTCCCTCCAGGAAACAGTTCTCCGGATACCTTGCTCTCTTGGCTCTCTTCCCACCTCTCTGGCCTCCTTGTCTCTGGCTTCTTTCTGCATTGCTTATCTCCTGCCAACTCTTTAGTAATACGTCTTAAGTCCCCTTTTTTTTTATGCTAAGTTCTCTGGGAAATTTCATCCATGTCCATGGTTTCGTTTACTATCTACATGCTGTAAAATGTAAAATTAATATCCGAAGTTCAGCTTTCTCTCACGTGCTTGAGACCTGTGTAGACAATTGGCCTAAAGGACCTTGGAATACAAAGATACCTCAAATGCAGCATGTCCCCAAATGAACTCACTGTCTTCCTCCACAAAAAGGCTCCTTTTCTTACCATCTCTAGCTCAATAGTTAACCCAATTATCAATTCAGTTTCCCAAGTCAAAAGCCTGGACATCAACCTTGACCATCTCATTTTCTTTACCCAATAGAACAAATCACCAAGTCCTGGTAAGTTTATTTCATGAAGTCATCTTCTACTCAGTCTCACTAATTCAGCCCAAATACCAGCTATTATCTCCTTTCTTCCTGGGACACTGTAGTGCTACCCAGCTGGTCCTTTTCCCTGCTATCTTGCCGCCTCATCTAACACACATTCTACACATAACATCCCAGAGTAATCTTTTACAAATGTAAGCAAGTTTCACTCCCCTGCTTAAAATCATTCCCATTGCTCTTAGGTAAAGTCCAAAATTCTTCCATGGCCCTTCATGATCTAACTGCCTGCCTTAGCCTTATCTCCTGATATCTCCCTTACCCGCCCTCTTTAACCATGTTAAACACCTGTTAGAAGTTTATTCTTTGAACAGTGATTCCCAGATTTTTCGATTTCATATGTTAGTAGTTTTTAGTAATTTTAAAAATAGGGCCATCTATTTATCACTGTCATTTCATAAAAGAGGGGCCATTTTAATGCCAGAAAATGGGGCTGCCTTAAACTCAGTTATTAAAATCGAATGACTTTAGGGGAATTCCCTGGCAATCCAGTGGTTAGGACTCCGAGCTTCCACTGCAGGGGTCACGGGTTCATTCCCTGGCTGGGGAACTAAGAACAGCACAGCCAATAAATAAATACATAAATAAATAAAATGTTTAAAAAATCTAAAAAAAAATAATTGAAGGACTTTAGCTTTGAAAAGACTTAAAGTTTGGTCTTCATTTCCTCATTGATGAGTGAAAATTTCATTCTGTCCTGACAAGTCTCTGAGGTCTTTTATTTGGGAACCACTGTTATAGAAGAAACCATACTCTCTTGCACCTCAGGGCTTTTGCATGTTCTACTTCTTCTGCCTGGAATCCTCTTTCCATCTCCTTCTTCCCCCTCCATCCTTTATCCTACAGGTCTCAGTTTAAATGTTCTTTCCTCTAGGATGGGAGGCCCCAGAACTGCCCTTCTCATGCTGTATTACAGGCGCCTATGTTCCCCATCTGTCTGCCCCACTAGACTGTAAGCTCTATGAGGGCAGATTTGTTTTGCAGTGTTTTCTTAGGGCCAGACACATTCCCTAAGAGCATAGAGAAAGTGCAAAAATTACTTGTTGAATATACTGAAGGAGCGAATGTCATATGAGAGCCAGACAAAAGTAATCAGTGATCTCATGGTAAAATGATAGTTTTGAGTCTCTGAATTGGTTATATAGCTTTATAATGTAATTACCTAGACTCATTCTTCTTAGATTTTTCTTATTTTATCTTAAGGGCTATTGTATTCTTTCAATAGTAATACCTCACTGGTTTATGAACTTTTCAAATTGTATTTAGCTCTAGTTATAGGTATGAAAAAACTATATAATTAGAGCTATAGTTTGAACAGCTTTTATTCCCTAAAGAATATATTTTCCTATAGATTAAGCTCTAATGTATTTAAATAGAACTATAATGTTTTGTGTATGGGATTTCGTGATTCCTCTGTTGCTCTCCTACTTGTGGCTAAAATACATTGTTACCTATAAATATTGCTCTAAATAAATTTTAAAAATAAGGATGTAAGTGTGCCATAAGATACTTCAGATATTAAATAAACTAAAACTTTGATATTTAACGTATTATTGTATAAATACGTTCAGGATACTTCAGATATTAAATAAACTCTAGTACGCAAAAGTTTGACATTGGCTTTAATGTGTTTTATGTAAATATATTCAAGAAACACTTGAAGGTAAGGATATGAATTCACTGCACAGGCTATGGGTTGAAAGTGGCTCTTTTGGTATTTGTGAAGCAGGAGAAAAATATATCCTATGAAACTGAGGCAATCACTATATCCAAAATGGATTGGGTTTTTTTCTTATCACATTTTGAAATTTTCTAGCAGTGTTTTTGTTTTGGGGTGGGCTGGATGGTAAGAGAAGTAATTTACAGCTAATTAGGACTCTGTTTCTCCTAGAATATGTCACTTTATCTGGGAGAGGGCAACAGCTGCTCCCTCCCAGTGAGCCTCAGGAGAAGCCAAACATTCTACAGTGGTGCCTGTTTAACCACTATCATGTTTAATCAACATGATAGAGTTTTGATGACATCTTCCCAGGCTGCCAAGATGATCATGGCTGTTTTGGTGACTGTGGATTTTGTTTGTATCATACAGAGTCTCTGGTTGGAAAGAAGCAGATACGGCTTCTCATTTGTGTGTGTTTTGTTTAGTTTTTCAGTAGGCGATCTTTAAATAGTATTTCAATTACTGACTCACAGTAATTTCATAAGCACATTGAAAACAAGTGCCCCCTGAAGAATACGGTTTAATCATTTTAGATAATCACAGGACGTGTTTCCATGCACAAGATGGCAACGCAGAAGATGTGAAAACAGTTGTGTAAATGTGGTACAGCAAATATTCATAGGTAACCCTCCCTTTGATGCAGGTTTTAGAAAAGTCAGTACGTAGGGGTGAGACAGCATGGAAACTACCCAAGAAAGGTGGAGTCTTTTATGACGTAGAGAACACACTTAAACCTTGACCTTTTATTAGACGTTCCTACCGAAATTTTAGGTTCAAGTCATATTACTCTTATGTATATAGGCACCTTCCAATCAGAAATTATTTAGAATGCAAAAAAACCCTAATCTGCTTCAAGTTATTTACGAGACAAAATCAAACACCACATGCATATATCCATAGTTTCAGACACACATGTATGCACATATGTATATGACATATCCGCATCTAGTATACATACATACATGCATGCATTATAGTGTGGTGTATTCCTACAGTCGTATATAATGTAGTAGGTAAGAACATACACTTTGTAGTCAAACAGACCTTTCTGGCCTTAGTTTGAACCAGGCTCCACTAATTATTGGCTGCTTGATTTTGAACGAGACACGATAAGTGTAAAAACACCAAATCTAACACAGAGTAAGTGCATGTGAAACTCAAGCTCTCATTATTATTGTTACATAGTGGCCATGCCAGTGTCAGAGTTGCAGGCCTCAAGAACCTTGGTCTTATGGCACAGGTCTGAAGATTGTCATGCTTAGATGGGAAAATATGAAAAAAAAATAATGTTAGAGATATAGATGGCATCTCACTATCACATGTAAATACCTTGAGAAAATGCACAGAATGAAAGCAGCACAGAGAATCGCCCCTAGCGCATAAAACCCCACATCTGCTGTTGCTTAGTAAAGCTCCAATCATCAATCGTTAAAAGGGAAGAGAGGGCTTCTCGGGGGAGAAGGTGTGTAGAAGGAACAGGCTTATTTGACCTCAATGGCCTGTGTTGTGTAATCTCAGGGAATGCTAAAAATGTCTGGGGATTTGCTGTTTTTGGAAGGAGACAGTCTAGTAATCTGAATCTGGGCACTGGGAACGCCTGAGTTCTAATGTCGTATTGACCAAGGAATTCCACCAGAGGCACTGGATGGGTGCTCATGTTCTGTGCTTTCAAATTCTAGTAAATGACGGACAGCCATTTCTCTTGCCTTGGAAGTCTTTCATCCCAGGATGCCCCAATGAGATTTAAGATAAAACTTCTTGGAAGCAGCCCATAGTGTTGGATAAGGTAGAAAGTGTGGAGGGTGATAGATGTGATACTTACTTGGGGATTGAGTGGGTGTGAGATACCAGTATCTGGTTCTTTCTGTTTGAAGCAAAGTCTGAATTGGCTTCTCAGAGAAACTCTTTTTCATGCTTTGTGGAAGTCAAATAACTAGACGTGACATTTAGTAGTCAACAGTCTATGTTCCTGAATGTTTGAATAGCCCTCACGATCTAGTTACCAATATTTAATATAGTTTCAATGAAGTGACAATTTTAATCACCTTTGACTGGAGGATGGAAACATTTGCTTAGACTTTAACTCATTGGAAGCCCCTCAACTGGACTCAACTCTGTCCTCAACTCCCTTATTGGGGGTCTGACCTTCACAATCACCTGAGGTACCCAAGAGGCAAAACTGAATCTACGGGTTGGAGGTTGA